ACTGCTAGAAGGACCTGGCATAGGTGAACCCTGAACCGATGGAGCACGGAACGAACTCTGAGCTGGAAGGGCACTGAGAGATGACTGACCCTAGAGAGCACTGTATGAACCATGGATGGATGATGCACCATGATGAACTGGACGTGCCATTTGAGCGTGCCTGTAAGGACGACCCTATTGTGGTAGAACTGACCCCTAGAAGGAACACCGCTGAAACCACCTGATCCGCGAGGCCTCTTAGCCTCTCTCTCCTCACGCTCCTGACTACGGACCATCTCTAGTCTCCAAGCAATATCAACCACCTCGTCGAACCGAGCACCACATACACTCTCCCGAGTCATAGCAAAACGTAGGTGATAGGTGAGGCCATCAATGAATCTCCTAATCCTCTCCCTCTCAGTGGGAACCAACCAAACCGCATGACGAGCCAACTCTAAAAAACTCATCTCATACTGAGTCACAAACAGGCCATCCTGACGTAGCTGCTCGAACTGCCTGCGCAGCTCCTCCCTACGGGTCGGTGGCACAAACTTCTCTAAGAAGATGACGTAAAACTCATGCCATAAAAGTGGTGTAGCACCGACTGGCCTACTCCTCTCATAGGCCTCCCACTATCTGAAGGCAGCCCCAGTAAACTAAAAAGTAGTGAATGAGACCCACTGGTCTTCAGAATACCCGCGGTATGAATAATCCGCTGACACCTATCCAAGAAGTCCTAAGCATCCTCAGACTCAGCCCTACTGAATGATGGAGGCTGGAGTCTCCCAAATCTCTCGTCTCTTCCGCTTATCCTCACTCATAACGGAACCCACCTGGGCCTGAGTAGCTACTACCGGCTGGGCTGGTAGCACCCCCAGTGTCTGAAGTCCCTGCATCACCTGCTCGGTAGTATGGGTGGTGGGAGTCTGAGTACCTCCCCCGGCATGAGAAGTGGCTGGCGCGGTGCGGTCTGAACAAAAACTGGCTGAGCAAGGCTAGTGCACATAGTCAAAATATGAGCCAAAGCCTCCTGAAGGCCTGGAATCATAATGGGCATAGCTGGTGCCTGAGCTAGCCCCACTGGCTCAACCACATCTGGAACCTGCTCCTGAGATGGAGCAACTGGTGGATCTGCAGGTGCTGCTCTAGCTGTTGTACGAGCTGCACCTCTGCCCCTACCGCGACCTCGGCCTCTCGTGGCCCTAGCTGGTGGTACTGGTGGATGTCCATCCTATCCGGTAGCGCGTGTCCTCATCATCTATGAGAGAATAGAACAATAGAAGTTTAGTTTCTGGAATCAACATATCCGCACGACAAGAATACAATAATGTGAAGTTTACTAAGGGTTCGGCAACCTCTCGAAGATAAGTACATATGTCTTTGTACCGATCCACAAGACTCTACTAAACTTGCTCATGACTCATGAGACCTATGTAACCTAGGCTCTGATACCAACTTGTCACAACTCAAAACTTGGCCTGTCGTGATAGCGCCTAACGTGGTACTAGGCAAGCCGACACCTCAAAATATTTCCCACACTTTTAAAGGAAGAATGAAATAACACAGGTTTAAATAATTAAAGCTCTCATAAACTGAATAAAAAGTCAAAAGTTAATGCGGAAGTTCCCAAAAACTAAAGTGTCACTGAGTGCATGAGCGTCTATACAATACAAGTCTGAAAATACTGTCTATAAAAAACTGAAACTAAATATATAAAGCCGAAAGATAGGGAGGGAGAGTCAAGGTCTGCGAACATGGGGGCAGCTACCTTGAAATCTCCAAAACGGTCAAGCTGCTCAGATAATCAACACCCACCGTGTCTGAAAATACCTAGATCTACACACGAAGTGCAGGGTGTAGCGTGAGTACAACCAACTCAGTAAGTAACAAGACTAACTATTGGACTAAAAGTGGTGACTAGCTTCACGAATACAGTTCTATTACAGAAAATATAATACAGAGAAATAGGCATACTTTCAAGTTCGACAGTTAAAGCTAAAACAGTTAATTCATGCCAAGTTTAATTGAAACAGGATATAGTATCTCTCAGAAATTTCATGACAGTGATATATGCCAGCTGAAGTACAACAGTAATGAAATCAAGTGCATATTCTTATAGTGATTGTCACTCAGTCCTCCCATTCACTCCAACCTCACAGTTACTCATTCCTCACAATCTCTCATTTCTCTCAGACACTCGGCACTCGCACTCAGTAGGTACCTGCGCTCACTAGGGGTGTACAGACTCCGGAGGGGATCCTTCAGCCCAAGCGCTATAATAAGCCAATCATGACATAAATTAATAAAACATGTTGCGGCATGCAGCCCACTCCCATAAATATCCTCACAATCAGGCCCTCGGCCTCACTCAGTCATCAAGCTCTCCAGTCTCTCGGGCTCTCAATAACCATGATAATCAGCCCAAACAACGATGATATAATGTATCAATAAAGAACAATAGAGACTGAGATATAATAAGCAAGTAAAACGGTGTCTAAGTACAAAACAATAATTTAGCATATAATTCAACATGTAACACGACCTCTGTGGGTCCCTACAGTGCCAACACATAGCCTAAATATGATTTCTAACATGATTTGCAGTTTAATTTCCATAACACACGGAGAATATACGGATAATAAAAGGTTATTCAACTACACAATTCCATGGAATTGACCAAGTCACAATTCCTACGGTGCACACCCACATGCCCGTCACCTAGCATGCGCGTCACCTCAAAACCAATCACATGACACATAATACAGGTTTTCATACCCTAAGAACCAAATTTAGAATTGTTACTTACCTCAATCCGTGCAAATCCCTACTCCAACACGCCCTTGTCTCGCGAATCGGCCTTGAAATGTCCCGAATCTAGCCACAATCAGTTCGATACAATCAACACGAGCTAAAGGAATCAATTCCACAAGAAAATACTAAATTATTAATCAAAAGTCAAAAGTCGACTAAAAAGCCGATCCCCGAGCCCACGTCTCGAAATCTGATAAAAGTCATAAAATCTGAAAGCCCATTCAACCATGAGTCCAACCATACAAATTTTACCAAAATCCGACACCAAATCGTCACTCAAATCCCCAAATCAAACTCTCCAAATCCCTAGCCTCAAACTCCTAAATTACACCTCAAAATCACATAATCTAGGTGGGAAAATCAATGGGAGAACATAATTATAGAATGAATTAAACCACAAGTGACTTACCTCAAGAATCCCTTTGAAATCCCTCTCAAAAATCGCCTAAGCCCGAGCTTGAAATGTCCAAAAATGAAGAAAATCTCGGAAACCCTCAAATTTAAACACTGCCTAGTGCTTTCGAACCTGTGGCCAAATATCCGCACCTGCGGAATCGCTTTTGCGGAAAACCCTCCCCTTCTGCGGAAGTCACTTAAGTCCATAGGTTCCGTACCTGCGCTCCAGGTTCCGCACCTGCGGAAGCATTTCTGCGGCCCATGATCCGCTTCTGCGAAGGCAGCTCATGCCCCTCTTCTTCGCATCTGCGGAGCCTTGCTCGCACCTGCGGGTTCGCATATGCGGATTACTCCTAGCACCTGCATCCCACCCCAAGCCAGCCCAGCTCCGCACCAGCGCAACACCAGTCGCACCTACGGCCAAGACCCTCGCATGTGCTATCACACCAGAAGGCTTCCAGTTCAGCAATGCACTAAGTCTCCTTTTCGATCCGATAGCCATCCGAAATCAACGTGAGGCCCCCGGGACCTCAACCAAACACACCAACAAGTCCTAAAACATGATACGAACTTAGTCGATCCCTCAAACCACATCAAACAATATCAAAAATACGAATCGTACCCCAATTCAAGCATAATGAAAACTAAGGAATTCCAACTTTTACAAACGAGGCCGAAACCTATCAAATCACGTCCGATTGACCTCAAATTTTGCACACATGTCACAAATTACACCACGGGCCTACTCCAACTCCCGGAACCCCAATCCGAGCCCGGTATCCACAAAGTCCACTCTCAGTCGAACTTTTAATTTTTCAACTTTCGCCATTTCAAGCCTAATTCCATTACGGACCTCCAAAACACAATCCGGACACACTCCAAAGTCCAAAATCACCCAACGGAACTAACTGAACCATCAAAACTCCATTCCGGAGTCGTCTACACATAAGTCCACATCCGGTCAATCTTTTCAATTTAAGTTTTCATCCTTGCGACTAAGTGTCTCAATTCATTCCGAAACCTCTCCGGTCCCGAACCAACTACCCCGGCAAGTCACATAACAAGTAAATGGGGAACAGAGCTACAACTCTCGAAACGACCGACCGGGTCATTACACCTGGTCCATGTACACCCCTAGTAACATGTATGATAAAATTATTAAGGTGCAACCAAACTGATCCACATATTATTTTTATTTAAAATAAAAATAATTTAATGTGTGGGGGAGTGTATGATTGACACTAGAAAAATGGCTACGGACGAGTTGATCGTTTTCCTACCGAAGTCATTAGGATCCAAAACAAATTGCTCGTACATCAATAATGTTAGTAGTATATATTTCCAAGTTGAGGAATCGTATAACCAGAACGAGGAGGGAACCGACCCGACCGACCCGAGTACAGCAGTGGATCTCCATTCTCCAATATCCATCATATTCACGTGCTTCCTTTCCTATACACCCAATTCAGTACCACCATCTCTCTCAATTCATTGTGCCATTGACAAAAAAGGTTCCTTCTTTCTCTGAATCTTCGTTTTATTTATTTGCTCTTTTTTTTTTTTGGAAATGCGATCTGTACAGATGGAGTTGACTTTGCTGGTTCAGTGCGTCATGTTTTACAATTTGAAAGATTGCAAATTTCGTTGCTGAATTGAGACTGTCTCATCCATTAGAAGAACAAAATAACGTTAAAAGTACTTATTATATCCAAACAAAAAAAAGAGAAGAAGATTAAGACTAGTTTGGAACAGATTTATACTGTTTGACAGCTCAGTTGCTATTGCCCATTGTTAGTAGTTACTTAATCTCTTTATACTTCATATTCGTTGCTGAAACTTTAGTGAATTGCTAAGATAATTTAGTGGCTATTGCTGTTTTTGTCTATTTATGAATAAAATGGTGAGATTGTTTCAGAGCTAATAACTTTATTGGTTTGTGTCCATCAAATCTGCAACAGTGTTGTTAAAGGCTTCCTATAAGCGCGGTTAAGCTTGAAGCTCAGGTTGTGTGCTTCTGCTCGCTTAATTGCGGCTTTGGTGTAGGCTTTAAGGTGCTAAGACGTGTGCACCCTCACCTTGGGGTTATGTCTTGAAGGGAACAACATCAAATATATAGCTGAGTTATAGTAGTTCCATTCTTTTGTCCAAATATTTATTGTATGCGTTTATAGTTACATTTACTTGCATTAGATTTCTATTTTTTATTTTTCATTATTGGCATTTTTTTTTCCGCTAAAGCCCACGCTTTAATTGCACTCTGTGCTTAAAGCTCCAACAGCTTTTGGTGCTTTCCGCTTTTGACTACTTTGATCCGCAAGGATCACTTATTATGTTTTAATTGATCACTTCCAAATATTGAGTACTAGTGGTGTTTGTTTGTGGAATTTGAATTTCACATGTCAATAGTTTTTTAGAGTTGGTGTTTGTTTGACTTTTTCTAAGCAAAAGTTGCTAAACAATTGTTCGAACTTTAAGTCTTTGAAATTATGGTTTGAAAGTTGTTCCAAAGTGAAGTTTTTTCAAATTTTCAGCTTCCATTCACCCAAAAAGAAAAAAAAGCCTTCCATTCACTGATCTTCAACTCCCACTAACTTTTTTCTTAAAACACTACGGGCCCATTTAGCCATCGATATTTCAGCAATTATAAATATTGAACTTCAATATTTGCCAACAATCGAAACACAATTTCAGCTTCTTTTTCCAACTTCAACTGTAATGGTTGTCCAAACAGAGATCATGGTCTTTTTGATGTTGCAGCTTTTACTCTTATTTCTTTGCATTAATCTGTGGCAGCTTATTTTTCTGATTTTTTTTTTGTTAATTATTTTTTGGCCGGTATGATTAAAATCAGTAATAAAAAATGTTTTACAAAAATGGCAGATAGATGTATCAAGTAGATATTGATCATGGGCAAGAGAAGCAGCCACGTCCCCTTGCTGCAGATGGGGGCGAGGAATCAATCCATGCAGTTGGACAAGAGGGGATGGCTCAACAAACCCATCTTGAGAGGAGAAAGGGGAAATTGGCTTCCAAGGTGAGAAATGTTCTCTTCATACTTTCACCAGGCTTACATCTTAATGCCTTTTGATAGTGCATGTGTACAAGTATGTGCCTGACCAGAGGCGGATCTAGGATTTCAAAGGTGCGGGTGCCAGGTGCCATTGACTTTCATGTTCACTAGCTAGAGATGGAAATTGAATTGTAATTCAATCCGTACGTCTTGGGTTATTCGGTTTACAAGGTTTTTAGTTCATAAATTAACCATTTGATCATCGAACTGAAATTAGTTTAGTTCAGTTTTCATCTAGTTTCTATCGATTCAAATTCTATTGAATAAAATAAGAAAATATATTAAAACAGAAACAAATTTCTTAAAAAGTAAATTTCACCCTTTCAATTCAAACATAATATACGTAAATCATAGCAACAAGCAAATTGCAACTTATTTATAATTTTATTAAAAAATACAAGAAAAAGTAACTTCAATTAGGGAAATGCACCCCTTCCATCAACAACACAAGCAAAGGGATAAGGGTTAAAATTAAGGGGAAAATAACATTATAAGAGGGATAAGAACAAAAAAAGAGTAAAATTACATTCAAATACAAGTTTGGATACATTGGATAGGAAAAAGGAAGCAAACATATAATTTAAATAAATGAAGAAACAAATGGAGCTGTATAGAAGGAAGAAAGAGGAAAAACATAGCTCAAGAAAATAAAAGAAATTAAAGAAAGAAGAAAACAAAGAAAAGAGAAGGAAACAAGAAAAAGCCGCTTCAGTTGTGGGAAAATAAAAGAATTAAGGGAAGAAGAAAAGGAAATCTGGGAGCCGCCTGAGTTGTAGTTCGTAGAGGATATTAAAAACATAAAACAGTATTATGCATTTAGTAAGTTTCGAACTCAAGTCGCGAGTACAAAACTGCGACGCCTAACCATGGCTCCCGACGACCTGTTTAAGAAACGGGGTGCCACTAGCTCAATATAACCGATTTTCTGGAAAAAATATCTGTAAGTATATGAAAGTTTAGCCGAGCGTCCGGGTGGTGTGCCACCCCTACCTCCCTATGTAGATCCGCCCCTGTGTGCCTCAGTACCTGCACTCTCTTCTGAAATTCAGATAAACTGTTATAAGATTACACACCATTGAGCTGCTGTTGAAGGAAGTTAATAATACTCTAAGCTGCAGCTAAATTTCTTCTGAACTAATTTGTTATTTATTGGCTTATAAAATGGAACTAGCTGAAAGAAAGCTGTTTTCTTCAATATGTTGTTCCATTATTCATGTAAAAGTTAAAGTTGCGTGAGATGGATGCATCTAATGGACTTGGACTAAAAGAAGCTTGTATGCCTCAAACACAATTTATAGCATGCTTGCTTTCACGGACATTAAGGTGTCACTCTGACTACTTCCTTGTAATAAAGAAATTATTAGATTAATGTTTGTAGTTTGCAGTTAGGTTCTCTGCTAGGCTAATGACACTGACGTGGATTTTCAAGCGTATGGAAACTTAAAAAAATAGCACCTAAAGAAGAGTCAAAACATGCTAAGTTGCATTCTTTATTGGGTGGAAAATGTTAAATGTTTACCTTTTCCTTCTGAATGTCCTGCATATTTTCAGCTTGTATTTTCGCTTGAACCCCTTGAACCTAAAGTGCTTTAGTATGATGGGAACTTGCAGTCCTGACACATCTCTGTTTCTTTAGTTAGCTAAGGATGAAGAAAGGAAGAAGTATTCTCTGCTACCACTGCATAAAATCTTCTAAAATAAACAAAATTAAGGGTTGAAACACTTTTTACTGAAAGATTCGTCGCGGGTTGCTCAGTGCCATGAAATTTTTTCCACTTGGTCTTTGCTGCCTTTAACTTTTGCTCTTCCTTCTCACCAAATTTGCCCTCAAGTAGTACATTTTCTACCAATTTAACATGTGATCAACTGAAGAACCCTTGATCTTTATAGGAAAAATTGTCTTCACAGCAATAGCGCCTTTATCAAACAAAATGACTACCACTAGATCAACTTGCAGTTTCTCCAGAGAGATTTTAGCTTTTCTTTCTCCTATTTAATGTTGGTAACTTTTATGAAAGATAATTCAATAGTTGCAGATCTTGTACTCGTAGAAAAGAGGAGAGGAGGTAGGTTGGGATAAATTAGATCTTTCCCTTCCTCATGAAATAGTTTGAACTAATCCAATAAGCAACAATGAAGAGTATACTTGTAGTGGAATGGACTTCATTTACTTACTGGAGCTTTTCTTGTTGAATTTTCTGCTCAATTGACTTCCTAAATGAGTAGAGATCCTCCGTTTTTCTGCTCTTCACCTGATTAAAAGAAGGAAAGATTGGCATACTTCCCAAAAGTAGGATACTGTCTTGGAGACATCTTCTCAATTTGAGTCCAAGTCTTAATTAACCATAGGCACTTTTTGGTGTTCTCCAACAAGTAACTGTATAATAGGCTTGGTTTGTGATATGAATGGACCTTGGGCCTAACTCAATCCCAAAAGCTAGCTCATGAGGCGAGGATTGTCCAAGTCCATTTAAGGAGACCACCGGCCCAATGTCCAACCAATATGGGACTCTAACTCACTCTAACACCTCCTCACACAGCCAGACCGACAACTGGAATGTGGACAATATAACATGGGGGTCCAAAATGGGATGAACATGTCTCTGATGCCATGATAAAAATAGACAATGGGCCTAACCCAACTCCAAAAGCTAACTCATGAGGGCGGATTGCCCAAGTCCATATAAAGAGACCACTAGCCCAATCACCAACCAATGTGTAACTCACTCTAACAATTTGACACTTAATGATTTTAGGCATTTAAACCTTGCCTACTGGAGCTCCTCTAACTTGCATATTTGAACGCCTCTCTCTCTCTCTCTCCCCCTCCCAGTTGCCACACATTAATACCACAACAAAAATCCAGATTCCATTTTTGTTTTCCATAGTCCATGTGCCTTCTTCTGTCATCATGTATCTCTATCACAAAAAAGAATTGCTATCCTCATTACTATCCATGCCTCTGAAAAAAAGCTTCGAAAATATGACAAACCTTAAGCAAACAACATGAGTCAGCAAGCTCAACTTGACCATTGCCTTCACAAACACAATCAGGTGGTGATGATCTTTAATTGCCTTTGTCACTAAAATGTAGCTTCAGCAGTGGAACCATTATTTATTCTTTTTGCTTTTAGGTTTTTTTTTTTTTTGAAAAGGTAACATATTTGTATATTCATATAAAGACTTCACTAAAATTGTGAAGTCACCCATAATTACAATGTAAGTGCCCATACAAAACTACACAAAAAGGGCTCTTTTCTGCCTTGTTCTCTTATAATGAGTCTAAGGCATCTAAAATGGATACACTATCCTCCAAAAGTTTTCCTTTACACAAAATAAAAAAGAGCTAAACATTTCATCTTTATCTTCTGAATGTTGTTGGATTTCTCTTCAAAGCATCTTTGGTTTCTCTCTTTCCAGACTGTCCACCATATACAAGCTGGGACAATTCTCCATCTCTTTGTCTCTCGAAAGTGAGCCCTCTTTATTCCAGCTAACTAGAATATCAAGGATTCTTCCCGGCATTGCCCATGGAATTCCCCTTAGATTGATAAAAATCCTCCATATCTGTATAGTGAAGCTGCAATGCAAAAAGAGATGACTAATTGTCTCTGCCTTCTCACTACATACGTAACACTTAGAGCCATCTGGAATCCTCTTCTTGTTAGGTTGTCATGTGTTAGGACTGCTTCTTTAGCTAATAGCCAAGTAAAACAAGCAACCTTGTATGAAACTTTAACTTTCCATATCATCTTCCATGGCCAGCATCCAATCTGATTGTTGGTTAGATTGTATTCCTTGTAGGCACTCTGTACTGAGTACTTCCCCTGATCATTCCCTTGCCATATGATAAGATCTTGGCTAGCACTGGTACCACTGAACTGTTCCAAGGTCCTACTTTTAGGTTTCCATAAATGATAATTTAAACAACCTCTGTTGAGAAAACCTGGAACTGACACACTTAGTGGAAAATGAAGGTGAGAAAGGAAACCTTAAAATTGAGAATTCTTTTAGAAAATAAGAAGTGGAAAACCTTTGCCTGAACTGAACACTGCATTGTATTCTTCTCCAGAATTTTTAAGGTCATAAGATTTCTATTAGATCTACTAGTGAAATATACTTTATGCTTGAAGACGTTTCTAGTGTTTGCATCTGTAACAGTCTGCCTCTAGATCTCCTTGGCACATACATAAGCCAAACTTAGATTTATTTGGGGGGAAGTGGGTCTGCTGAGAGGGACCTCATTGCATCTGTGCTTTTCTCTAGCTGCTGATTGTGTGTGAGACCAGCTCACGCCGTGGATCTTTTGGCCTTGCAGTTTACTCTGGTGAATATTTCCACTAATCTACTATTGGCATACCAAAGTCTGGGGGTGGTATATGGAGATGTGAGCACTTCTCCGCTTTATGTCTATAGGAGCATCTTTGTGGGGAAGTTGCAAAATCATCAGAATTCAGAAGCGATATTTGGAGCATTTTCACTGATCTTCTGGACAATAACGCTCATTCCTCTGCTCAAATATGTGTTCGTTGTATTAAGTGCAGATGATAATGGTGAAGGTATGTACAGAAGGGACTCTAAATTGATCAGTACTTATTGAACAATACTAATACCTGATGATGTCTAACCAAATACCTTAGGTGGTACATTCGCTCTTTACTCTCTGCTATGTAGACATGCAAAATTTAGTCTACTTCCCAACCAGCAGGCAGCAGATGAGGAGCTATCTGCTTACAAATATGGCTTCTCTGGGCAGTCGACAGCATGTTTACCATTGAAGAGATTTCTTGAGAAGCATAAGAAGTCACGCACAGTACTGCTTATTGTTGTATTGTTAGGTGCTTGTATGGTCATAGGAGACGGTGTTCTGACTCCTGCAATGTCAGGTAGACAATACTAACAATAGATGCCTCCTTATATGGTATTTAGCCGGTTGCCTTTTGAATTTGCAAAAAAGAAGTTTGTTTAGAAGTTGCTTCCATTGAATGTTAGATGGCGATTTCAACTTTTATAATATAATAAGTGGCACCTTATAATGCATGTGTTGGCATCAGATATTCTATAAAAAATATCCCCAAAAATGGATGCTTGAAGTCATAGAACTCGCAGTTGAATTTGAGTATATCTTTTAACTAAGAAATGCTTTACTTTGGCAGTTATATCATCAATATCAGGGATCCAGGCTGCTACTGAACATCTATCTCATGGTGGGTATACTTTTGATATACCCCCTTGCAAAAATTGACGACTTTTTAGGTAGTCAACATCTTACTTCTGTCTGAGGCATTGACCATTCATGCATCTTTCTTCGTAGGTGGTGTGCTACTTCTTTCTTGCATAATATTGGTTGGCCTGTTTGCTCTACAGCATTCTGGAACCCACAGGGTTGGATTCTTGTTTGCACCTATAGTGACTATTTGGTTGATATCTATTTTTGTCATTGGGCTGTATAATACTATATTTTGGAATCCCAAAATTGTATCTGCTCTTTCTCCATATTATATCATCAAGTTCTTTAAGGAAACTGGGAAAGATGGTTGGATTTCTCTAGGAGGTGTGCTCCTCTCAATTGCAGGTACCGTACATATATTGACTCTAATACAGTATTTCTTTATTCAAGTATATGCCGCGTAGCAGCCTTTTCGTGGAACCTCTTACTATTTCTTGAAGGAGATACTATTAAAATCTCCTAGAGTTGGGATCCGGTTTCTAATTCATATTTCTACCATCAGGTACCGAAGCTATGTTTGCAGATCTTGGTCATTTCACTGCCTCCTCAATGAGGGTAAGTCAAGCATTTTGCAGCAACAAACACATAAAACTATCCTTCAGCTTCAGGAGACTGTTCTGTTCTAATTCTTTTTTTGGCGTAGCAAATACTCTTTTTCTAGAAGATCCTGAATGCAGATTAAACTAGTTGGATTATGCGGCAATGGTAGGAACATGTTTTAGGTGCATATATACAGCTGGTTATAAGTCATCATGGCATTGGGAAAATGAGCTCCATTTTGTGTTAAATAAATAGGGTTTGCAACTATCGAGACTCTGATTTAGTATTTCGTTTTCTTTTGAGCATAGAGGGACTTAAATAACATTATTAACGTAAGTTTGAAATCCATCTGAAGTAGCTTTGAGGAATACTGAGTCTAAGATTTGGAATTCATATTAATTGCTAAAAGTAAAACATTTGGAATCCATAATGAGCGGAAACATATAGAATAACATGGACAACTGGAGCCAAATGTTTTTTATTCCACCAAACGAGTAAACTCTCCTAGTGGTTAGCAGAATATATTGCATATATGATTACTTGGATTTGAGGAACTTGCACCAAGTTGACTGAATTTTTTCTCTTATGCAGATTGCATTTCCATTTTTTGTATACCCTTGCTTGGTGGTACAGTACATGGGCCAAGCTGCTTTCCTGTCCAAAAACATTGCTTCTATTCCAAATAGCTTCTATAATTCCATACCTGGTTGGTTCCTTTTCAGATATTTGTCTGATTATTCTCAAGATTTTTTGATTATTTAAGTTCAATCCTACTAAACTGCTGCTCTTTGATTGTCTTGCAGACATTGTATATTGGCCTGTCTTTGTTATCGCTACCCTTGCAGCCATTGTTGGCAGTCAGGCTGTAATCACTGCTACATTCTCCATCGTGAAGCAATGTAATGCACTGGGTTGCTTCCCACGGGTCAAGATTGTCCACACTTCAAAGCATATTAAAGGGCAGATCTATGTCCCAGAAATAAATTGGATCCTAATGATTCTGACCCTTGCCGTGGCTGTTGGGTTTCAGGACACCACTTTAATTGGAAATGCATATGGTAAGCCTACTAGTCTTTGACATTCTCTATTCTAATTCTTCAAATTCCACTGTATGACACTGCCTTCCTACATTTCATTCTCTTAGAAAGTAGACTAATCCCCATTATATGATCTCCGCAACTATCCCAATTATATCACCCTCAGAAGTAGTTGAATTTTTCTTATGCATCTGTCAGATCTGTGGTAGTATTATATTTATTGGTATGCAGGTGAAGAAATAGAATGCTGACATATCCAACATTAAGCCGTCCAATGTGCCTGAGCTATAATGTTCACAAGTAATTCTGTTTGCCAAATATTTCTGTTATACCTGATTACTCTTCATGATTGTGTATTTGTTTCCTCAAACATGCTTCTAAGCCTCTCCTTGTGCCTTTTGCAGTGTATTAGGTCTTCTTTTTGAAAAATCCTGATGAAAATAAAAACATATGAAATCGAAATGATGAATGATGTGAACATGAAGGAATCTCAGATTTCATGACATATT